TGAGCTAGCAACAAATTTTTTGTACACATGTAATCAGCGACACCTTTGATGTTAAGAAGCGGCGCCAACGCGTTGTCTCCATAGCCAGCATAGCAAACTGCGTGAGCTTCATTGATTGTAATCCAATGTTTAACTCTATCACCAAATAACTCGAAAGCAACACGTACGTAGTCTGAATACCAATCAATAATATTAGGATTGGTCCATCCACCCATCTCCTGTAATTTTTGCGGCAAGTCCCAATGATACAGCGTAACCATTGGTTTGATATTGTACTTGAGCATTTCATCTATAAGATTATTATAATATTGAACTCCTGCTTCGTTTATTTTGTCAGGAAAACTGGTTGGTAGAATTCTTGGCCACGACAGTGAAAATCTGTAATGGTCTAAGCCCAACTCTCGCATCATTTCTACGTCTCTCTTATATAGGTGATAAGAATTGTCTGCGATGTCACCGTTTAAACAGTCTGTGGTAACGCATGGATTTTCGTGTGTCACATGGTCCCAAATGCTTTCTGTTTTTCCTGTAAAATTACGTAACCATTGTCAATTTTTCGTATTAAGTTCAAAGATAGTGTGTAAATTTTATACATCAAATTAGATTGTTCGTACCATCTTCATCCCACGCTCCTTCTACCTGATAGGAAGCGGTGGCTGTGCCAAAAAGAAAGTTGTCAGGAAATTTCCTAACTTCATGACGAACTTCATTAATAATTTTGCTTTCAATTATTACTAAGGACGCAGTGAGGAGAAACCTGTAATATTATGGTAATATTGTAAATTATTTGGAAAAGTCACAAAATATTTAAACCCAATGTACTAAGTATATATTTATTACTTTATTTTGTCATATTAATTATATTTAATAATATAAAGAGTGTGAACTTACAGTAGTTGTAACCCCGCCATTGCGTAACTTTACCTCCACTGAAGGTAACTAGCCTTATTTATATCATTTTTAGCAAACGGCTTGACATTTTTATCACTATCTTGACGATGCTCAATTATGTTATGAGCACTTTGTTTTTTTTGTGTATTTATCGATCAACGTATTGTTTGTTGTATTGTGGTACATACACATTTGTTAGTGCAATAATAAAAAATCGATTAAACAACCAGAGGACTTGCATCCCATTCTCTACAATCATATTTCTCATTACTACGTTTTGTTCGTCACAGCTATCATCTATTTGTACACAGCAAAAATAAAATGCGGTACACACTATACTCATCTGAGCTATTTCGTTGTTGTTTTTAACTTTTTTCCTTTTTTTTTCATTAATCTAAACATTTTTAAAATGTCTTTAACATATACGAGAGAATATTCTGTACTGGCTGTTATTATAAATCAATTGTTGGAAAAGTTTATGAAGTATGTTTGTTTGTATATAACGCTTTTAGGTCTCAATTATAGAACCGACCATCAGCATATCTTTTACAATTAACTATGGATAAAAGGACTTTATTCCGAAACAGTAATTTGGCAAGGGTTCAAAGACGTTACTGCCTAAATTCAGTATCAACTATTGAATTGCCATGAATTTTACCTACTTAAAAAAGACCCATTGAAAAGATCACCACACCCGCATCACTAAATGTTTAATATTTATCTTTTTGATTGATTGATCTGTTTATCATTCAAATATTTAGGTACTAAGTGTGTTATATAATCTAAATATTTGAATTTTATCAAACTTTCCTCGTTTTGATTATTTGCAAATTTTATAATTATTTAGCTCTGTGTGTAATCTCTTATAGACCTCTCCTTCTTTCATTTTATTAAATACAGCTTAAAAGTACTTAGGCGTTAGTAACAAAACCAAACAAAATTAAAAACTCAATTTTAAGGGTATTTAATGTCTTGCGATGTATTTTTTGGCGCAGTTCTTGACCAAACTATAATTCATCGACATAAAGTATTTCTACAGGAAATAGTAAAAATATCGAATTTTTAACACAATAGTTGTATTACGAGACTTGAATTTAAGTTGTTATTGCAACTTAAGTTTAAAACAGATAGACGTTCTGACGATTGCAAGGATTCACCACAAGATGTTCACCTTCCAAATAAAAATAGCTATTAACAAATATTGTATTTAATTATCTCAGTTACCTGTTTGTTCTACTCGAACATACATTGCAACTTTTATTTTTATGACTATATTAAATAACCCATGACTGGCCTAATCACCCTTAACTTAGGGTAGGCTCCGAGCCCCTCGGTGGAGACGTATAGTGAGCTGATGACGATGAAATAACCCATTGCAAATATTCATTTTTTTAGTATGTAACCAATGTTATATGTTGAAATTATATGAATATTTACATTCATAACCTTTTTTATAAGATTATTTCTATGCTTCAGTGTTACTTTACTTTCATAATTACCGTTTGTAATAAATTCAGTTTTCTTATTATTAATTTTCCTTTGTTAATTGTAATTAATAATGGCGATAAAAGATATACTAAAAAACAACCTTGTAGACTTAAATAAAAGATTATAAGTAACATTTAATTTTATTTATTAGGTTAAAATGTTCAATGTCCCTCGTCGATGGTCATGACGTCAGTGTCGGGCTCGTAGTGCATATCGAGTTCGCGCGTGCGTAGGATTTGCTTGTAGTAGAAGGCGGATTTGCGCGGCGTGCGCGTGCGCTCCGGACTCTCGTAGTCCACCTCGTACAGACCGAAGCGTTGCCTTTTAAATAATAGCATAAATTAACATCAAAAACTAAGGTGATTGATGTGTAAAAATGTTTGTATTACTTTCTACCAATGTTTTTTATTAAGAAATATGAAGGTTTATGGTATGAACTATATACTGACGTGTAGCCTTGTAGCCATTCGAAGTTGTCCATTAGACTCCAGGCTGTGTATGCTTGAACATCAGAGCCATCCTCCATGGCATCTAGCATAGCGTTCATGTAGTGCTTGTAGTAGGTAATACGATCGTCATCGTTCAAGCCTCCGAGTGTTGCAAAACCATTTTCAGTAATTATAACAGAAGGATTACCGTAATCCTCTCTTATTTTTGTTAAAAGCTTGTAGAATCCCCACGGAACAAACTGGAATAAGAATATTTTGGCGACGGTAACAATATATTGATATGGTAGGAGGGAGAAAACGTTACTAGAGGAGATGGTGTTGCAATTAGATGGATGCACGTTATTACATTTTCAAATAATTAAAATATATCGCTAATATTCAGAAGGGAAATTCTTAAATATTGTCGGCTGAATTTGTAAATACACTTACTTTTGTGAAATCCGATTCCCCAATCTTCCAATCGTCATACGTGTACATTATAACGCCTAGATCATCTTCAAAGGATGGTGATTCGTAATAATTGACAACAGATTCATTCCGATACACATATTTTGTGGAGTAGTGATTAAGACCAAAGTAATCAGATGTACCACGGATATATTCAATTTCCTCTTGGGTGAATTCCGGTAGCCTGGATCTGGGATATCCTTGTGCAGCGCTTTTAGCGGCTACTGTTTCTTTTAGAGATTTCGGAAAATCGCCAGTCGCCGAAAATATAGGATGAGAGTATATTGCCCACTAAAAATAGAATTATTTATATTGAGAATTTAAGTTGTTATATTGTACTTTAATATTTTTTGATTATTATAATAACCAATTTATTTCTCTAAGCAGTAATTGGTGCGTGAAATGAGATTGACTCCTTATCAAATATCACAACCATAACTATTGCAAATTTATAAGGAATATTACTGACCGAGAAATCGTTAGCTTCCTGAGCAGCAACTGAGAATTCCTCATGCTCAGCGTCGTACCATTGTGCACTTAGTGCTATAAAAATTTTACCGCCTTGTGTAGGTCGAAACTCTTTGTCGTATATGTGGTATGCTTTAGCATGAGCTAGCAATAAGTTTTTCGTACACATATAATCTGCGACGCCCTTAATGTTTAGGAGCGGAGCCATCGCTTTATCTCCATAACCATAGTAACAAACAGGGTGAGGTTCGTTGATTGTTATCCAATCTTTAACTCTATCACCAAACAACTCGAAAGCAACACGTGCGTAGTCTGAATACCAGTCAATTATATAAGGGTTGGTCCATCCACCCATCTCCTGCAATTTTTGTGGCAAGTCCCAATGATACAGGGTAATCATTGGTTTTATGTTGTACTTTAACATTTCATCAATCAAATTGTTATAATATTGAACTCCTGCTTCGTTTATTTTATCTGGGAAGCTGTTTGGTAAAATTCTTGGCCAGGACAATGAAAATCTGTAATAGTCCAAGCCCAGCTCCCGCATCATCTCCACATCTCTCTTATATTGGTGATAAGAATCATCAGCGATGTCACCATTTAAACAGTCCTTTGTAACGCATGGATTCTCGTGAGTAATGTGATCCCAAATGCTTTCGGCTTTCCCTGTAAATTTCATTATTATATTTTTTTTATTATTGACTTTAATGCTAGGACGAAAGACATAAAGCGTTCATACCGTCTTCATTCCATGCTCCCTCTACTTGGTAAGAAGCGGTGGCGGTGCCGAAAAGAAAATTGTCAGGGAATTTCCGTACCTCATGACGGACATGGTTTATAATTTTACCATCAGCAATAAATACGGACGCAGATACAAGAAGGCTGTAATATTAAAATATTATTTCTTTAAATAAAAAGCATCGTTGAATAATTGGAGTATTATCATTTTGTGCTGTCTATATGAGAATAATTTATGAATACTTACAGGAAATGCACCCCCGCCATTGTGTGAATTTATCTATTCTAACCGCTACCAGCCTTATTTATAGCTTTTTTAAAACCATGAATGACACTCTTATCAAGCACTATCTTGACGATTTTCAATTAATCTTGCCATTGTTGTAAGGACTTTGTTTTTTATTTTTGCCTGAGTATGAAGTAAATTTATCATATTTTTACTATCTTTCTTTTCTTATCAGGATCAATTTTTGACACGTCTGTTAACATATAAGTGCGTTAACAAAACTAAGTCGAATTGAGAAGTTATAAATAAATATACTTACTTTATAAGACTTTTACAAAACCCACTTCATAAGAACTTTAAATTCAACCCCTCTTGAGCTCTTGTATGTGCAGATAAAATAGCATAGTTATGTTAAAATACGACAAACTTAAGGGAAAACATGTAAAATCGGCAACAAATTTTATTGACGATAGGAAACAAATGTGTAATACTCTTGAAATTATGAGATTATGTGAGTGATAAGAGTAACAGAACGTTATAAAAAGCGCATGAAACTTCTAAAGGAAAAAAACGCACGATGGGAATACTGCAACTAATGTAAGTATTACTTTGCTTATTTTTATTACGATTTATACTCACAATGCCGGAAAGGACTTTTTTTTATTTTAATAAAAAAAATCTTCATTTAACAGATTTCCAATCTGGGCGTCCATTGCAATTATCGAAAGTAAAATTGTTGATAATATTCGGCACGAGGTTAGAAAATTCCCTGATGAATTCCAATTTGGTGCAGCCACTGCCTCTTATCAGGTCGAGGGGGCTTGGAATGAAGACGGTATGATATTTTTGCAAAATTTTGTAATCTTTATACTCGTACTTATATACCTACATCAGGAGTGAAATAATAATTTATCAATACATATAATTTCAGGAAAATCTGAAAGTATATGGGATCATTTAACACACGAAAATCCATGTTACGTCTTGGACTGTTCCAATGGTGACATCGCTGATGATTCTTATCATCTATATAAAAGAGACGTAGAGATGATGCGAGAGCTAGGCTTGGACTTTTACAGATTTTCACTTTCCTGGACAAGAATTTTGCCAACTAGCTTTCCAGACAAAATAAATGAAGCAGGAGTTCAATACTATAACAATTTAATTGATGAAATGCTCAAGTATAATATCAAACCAATGGTTACGCTGTATCATTGGGACTTGCCGCAAAAATTGCAAGAGATGGGAGGATGGACCAACCCTAACATTATTGATTGGTATTCAGACTACGCACGTGTTGTTTTCGAGTTATTTGGTGATAGAGTTAAAGATTGGATCACAATAAATGAACCATATCAAGTTTGTTACAACGGCTATGGAGACAAGTCGCTAGCCCCTATTTTGAACATTAAGGGTGTCGCAGATTATATGTGTGCGAAAAACTTATTGTTAGCTCATGCTAAGGCATATCATATTTATGACGAAGAATTTCGTCCTACTCAAGGTGGCTCTATTTTCATTTCTCTCAGTGCGCAATGGTATGATGCGGAATTTGAGGAATTTGCAGTCGTTGCTCAGGAAGCTAACGATTTCTTTGTAAGTTTTTTTAACTTCACAATTTATATCGTTTATTTATTGAAACTTTATTATATTTTAATATTTATTTTGTTTCAATATCCGACGTGCAATATTTTAACAAATCAACCATCTAGACATTATTCGGATTTTTTTTTAGTCTTTACATTTAAAATATAGATCATATTTTTTTCTTATAGTGGGCTGTTTATTCCCATCCTATCTTTTCTGCCAGCGGCGACTTTCCTAAGTCTGTAAAAGACGCTGTGGCTACTAAGAGTATTGAACAAGGATATCCTAGATCAAGACTGCCCGAATTTACTGAAGAAGAAATTGCCTACGTCCGAGGTTCTTCCGATTACTTTGGACTTAATCACTACTCAACACTATATGTGTATCGAAATGAATCTACCTTAAACTATTATGAGTCGCCATCATTTCATGATGACCATGGGATAATAACTTATACCTACGACGAATGGAGAATTGGTGAATCGCTAAAAACGAAAGTAAGCGTTGTCAAATTTTCAATTGCTGTTGTGATTTTACTGCCAAAATAACAGAAATAAAAATGAACCTTATTTAATTTTAGTTTGTTCCTTGGGGATTCACGAAATTATTAGCAAAAATAAGAGAAGATTATGGGAATCCACCTGTCATCATCACGGAAAACGGTTTCGCCACACACGGAGGACTAAATGATGAAGACCGCGTCACTTACTACAAACATTACATCGGAGCTATGTTAGACGCCATGGAGGATGGTTCAGATGTCCGTAGGTATACAGCTTGGAGTATAATGGACAATTTCGAATGGACAGCTGGCTACACGTACGTACTCTTTGACCCTTTTTTCAAAAAATCGACAGGAATAAAATGTATACCAAAAATTTTTTTTAATCATATTTATCGATTCCGTTATCCTTGTCTTCTGTAAGAAGCATATATTTTTACGTTATCAGTGAGCGCTACGGTCTGTACGAGGTGGACTACGAGAGTCCGGAGCGCACGCGTACGCCGCGCAAGTCCGCCTTCGTGTACAAGCAGATTCTGCGCACGCGCGAGCTCGACATGCACTACGAGCCCCACACTGATGTCATGACCATCGACGAGGGACACTGAAGAATAACACTATGCTGGTCTTAATAAAATGTAGTGAAATGATTTTGCTTTTTATTATAAACATTCATTAGTATGTATCAACAGAAAGCACAAGAATTTGTGCTCAGAAAGATTTAAAAAATAATAATATAATAGGTATACTATTGCGTATTAAATTTGCACGCATAATCTTAAAAGCATGTTAGAATTAATGATTGATGTATTTAATAAAACAAAATATCAAGTCATTACAAACGTCTTAATATGTTATTATAATTCTTGAGTGCAATTCAATTGTTGGGCAATCAAGTTATTAGTGCACTTAACTTTATTCACACCTTTTTTTATTTTAATATATTACGAGAAGCGCCAGTATTTATATCTTTTACAATCTTTAATAAATTAGCATTTTAATAAAAATAAACACAAAATGATTGCCGATAACGTTTACCGTTTGCATCGTTGTAACATTTCTTCCAAGCATTAAGTAACATTGTTTCCTTTGTCTTTAATCTAACAATAAGTAATTTTGAATTTTTTGGAAATTGCACAATTTCATTTGAATTTCCTCACTTGTCAATCCTCAATTGCATGCAGTACTAGATGTCGATAGCGACTCCGTCCGTGCGGAACTAAAAAAAACTTTAATTATTAGCCTATGTTGTATATGGATGCCAAATTTCATTGCGATCCGTTAAGCCGTTCTGGAGACACTTTAAAACAAACATTCATCTATCCATGTAAACATTCGCATTCATAATATAGTAAGGAGTAAAATGTCATAATATGTGCTATTAGTATAAAATATAAGTTATTTTCAAGTACGTTACGGTGCATTAAGTAATTTATCAAAGACGTAATTGTTATAACCTCGAAAGAATGGTGAAGGTTAACATTTTAAATAGTTATCATGAATTTTAAATGGTTTTAGTTAATATTATTGACCTAAATTCTAGTATTAATTAAAGAAAGGTCTATCGCTACACTGATAATGGCTTATGTTGCTTATAGCTGGATAACCTAGGAAAAAAATATGTACACACTTACTTTCTACATCGATAATTTAACATAAAAATATAGATAGGTATTGGATGTATTATATTTAATTGTTTTCTTTTTGGACCTTAGTCAAACTTTAAAAGAAGAAATTTACCCCTTCGTCCAACAGAGTTACATCCTATTTGGAGATCCTAGACAAGATGTAGCGCGTTTCTTACTAGTTGCTAATGGTTCATTCAATTAATCAAACATTTATATGAGTATCATAAATTAAATGGTATTAACAACCGATCACGTGGGTTCGGATCCTAGCATATGAACGTCTACAGTTAGCTTCGTTACAAGAAATATTAACAAATATCATTTCAATAAACTGCTAATATTTAAAATACAAAAATAAATAAAGTTATTAAAGTTAAAACATACCAATCTTGCTTTGTTGCAAGATTGAATTATTGTTGTTGACGGAAATAATGTGAACAAGAGTTAAAGTAAAAGTACAAGTTAATTTAAATAAAAAACTTAATTTGTATAAAAAACTGTACGAATTACTTTGAATTACTTTACTGCTGTTAATTTTATATTTCATGTGTATTTGTAGCCCTATATTGTAGAGATGGCGAGTTAGTGATAAACTCGGAGCGGAAATTATTAATATACAATAAAACCGCTGGGAATTAAACAACAATTTGCATTTGAGGCATAACGCTCGCGGCGGGTTAATGCGGCCGGTCGAAATGTGCTCGCACACAAGTTTGCTGTGAGTATTAAAAAGTATTTATTATTAAATTGTTTGCAAAATTCGAAATTGAAATTAAAAAAAAAGTAAAACTTAATTGTCATAAATTCAATAATGTGACGTGCTTCAGAAAAATCTGATAATTTTATTTTTTAACAAATTATAAATATGATTAGTTATCACATTTATAGTAAAAACTAGATTTTTACTTACATAATTAGTAATTGATGCACCTTTTGCATTTATTATTATTGCATATTATTTCCATTACATTTGTAATATTGTTTGAATTAATAAAATTAAATGATGAAGATCCTATAGGCAAACCTTTCCGGCTTTGGTAGTAACCTGACCTTCTTCGTAGTTTATGACGTTGCACGTGAATAGATGAAACGAGTCGTCGCGACGACTCGCGTCGACGATTAAAAAGTCGCATTTTCGCGCGCAATGCGGTTCGCGCGACGCAATCTTACAATGATAATATTAGTTTCGACGATGAAGCGGTTTGAACCAGTCAATTTTGCCTGCGCCCGCGTCTCCGAGTTACATATGAACAAGTACTAACAGTAAATTTTACCCTTGTTCCAATTCTCATAGTATAAATAGCTGAGGGTTACGTCAGCGCGGAATTTAGAAAAATAGCCTAAGTTATCCTATCAGTAATATACATACTTATCAGACAGACAGACAAAAATTAGATTGAATTTTCGTTATAAGCAACGCAAACACAACATGTGTACAACATATGATTATTTTTTGACATTAAGTAAAGCGCCAACATCTCATCAACGGGTAGAAAATAACGTAACACTAACGAAGTTACAACGTTCCCTCACGATTGATTTCTTCCCCGCGAGACATCTGCATGTGTTTGTCGTCATTGTTTCAAGAGGCCCAGCAAGAAAATTTACGAGAAAGTACTCGAATTGTCATCGATAAAACGTGTATTAGATTTGTCAGTGTAATTTACGCCCAACAGGAGTCGATGTACAAATCTAATACAAATTTTGTCTATGTGTCAACAACCTCTTTCTCGCAAATGTTTGTGGCCTCTCCTAGCTCTTAAAAGCAAAGCAGTGACAAATAATCGTTCACTTTTCAGACTCTTCGTCATCTTAAATGTGGTATTAGTTAATAGTAGTAAGTATCAAAATCAGCGGAGTCCAAGAAAGTTTCCTGTTGGGTTTCGCTTTGGCACTGCGACTGCCGCTTATCAAGTCGAAGGAGCATGGAATGAAGATGGTAAGCAATCGTTATGGTTACCAAGTTGTGAGTTAATACAGGAACACTTTTTATCCTCTTTGCTCAAAAAAATATTTTTCTTTATAAAACGAATAGCAAGGAAAAAAATTGATACTTATCTCTACCATCACCGTCGTTTTTCTTTTTTTTTCCAGGAAAAACTGAAAGTATATGGGATTACCTGACACATACGAACTCTAGCGCGATCAGAGATGGTTCGAACGGTGACATTGCTGCTGACTCCTATCACTTATACAAGAGAGACGTGGAGATGATGCGAGAGTTGGGTCTGGATTACTATAGATTTTCATTATCTTGGCCTCGGATCCTACCCACGGCATTCCCGGACAAGATAAATGAATCAGGAGTGAAGTACTATAATAACTTGATAGACGAAATGCTCAAGTATAATATAGAACCCATAGTCACAATCTATCATTGGGATCTGCCGCAGAAACTGCAGAAGATGGGAGGCTGGTCGAATCCGTACATTATCGACTGGTATTCAGATTTCGCACGCGTCTGTTTTAAATTGTTCGGGCATAAGGTTAAAAAATGGATAACTATTAACGAACCGGCACAAATTTGTGACTTCGGTTATGGTAGAGACTTGTTAGCTCCTATGCTTCATATACCAGGAGTGGCTGACTACTTATGTGCCAGGAATTTGTTGCTGGCTCACGCGAAGGCGTATCACATATACGATAAAGAATTCCGACCAAAACAGAACGGCGCTATATTCATTACACTGAGCGCACAGTTTTATTCATACGAATTTGGAAAATACAAAGAAGCCGCTCTAGAAGCTAATGACTTTAATGTATGTATTTATTAGCCCATGCTACAATATCGTTTAATGTAAATTTTAACACACAAAAATTATCTCATCATTGAAAATTAATTTCAAGGCAGCGTAAAGTGGTGCAGCAAAATATTGTGTTACCAATTAAAAATTTCCAATAAATTATATACTATGTAGTATATAATAATCCTCATGATAGAAGCGCAAAATATAAAAATAATATTGAATTTCGGATTATGGGTTATCCATACTTCAACTATTTATGCTCTAAAAATTTCATTTCTTTAGGAATATATTCCTAAAAACGTATTAATTCCTTTGTATTTTCGTTTCAGTGGGCCATATATTCCTATCCGATATTTTCTAAAACTGGCGACTTTCCGCCTTCTATGAAAAAGAGAGTGGCGCGCAAGAGCGCAGAACAAGGCTTCTTCAGATCCAGGCTTCCAGAATTGAACCCTGAAGAAATTGCTTTTATCAAAGGCACTTCAGATTATTTTGGTCTAAATCATTATTTCTCGTTCTACGTCTACAGAAATGATTCAGTGAACGGTATGTTTGAAACACCCTCCACTGACGATGATCTCGGAGTTGCCACTTATTTCGGGGAGGGGTGGCAAATCGGAGAGTCTAACGCTACTATGGTAATTAAAACTACTATCAGTTATATGAAACTAAAAATAAGAATGAAATAAAAATATCTCCCATAAGTTATAACTCATGGAACATGTTCTATTTTATCAAAAAAAAGTAAATTGAATATTTAATACCTAGGTCAGCAGTGGAATTAAGACATGTAAGAATTGTATACTAATTTTAAGATAAAAGAAATTATTGAAGTTAACCGACTAAAATTTTTCTTCCAGTTCGTGCCGAAAGGATTCTATTATCTTTTGACGAAGATAAGAAATGACTACAACAATCCTCCGGTGCTTGTGACAGAGAACGGGTTCGCGACACGCGGCGGTTTGCGGGATGAAGATCGCGTCACTTACTACCGCTACTACATCTCAGCTATGCTGGACGCCATCGCCGAGGGCTCCGACATACGCGCATATACCGCTTGGAGCATGATGGACAACTTTGAATGGGCGGCTGGTTACACGTACGTATCATTTATGGTTATCGCATGTTACACTCAATCTTCAACCTGACCCACTTGCCTCTACACTATTATACATGCGTAGACATATCAAAGTGTGTATTGTGTGTGACTTTATTAACATATCTCCGATTCCGTACTGTGTGGCAGAGGGAGGCCACAACCTGGATCTATTTTTGATAGCGTGATTTATAACAAGTCCAAACCAGGTCTTTATTTCCGGTGCTACTGATCGTCTTCACGTTACTTTTGTATTGCTACCGATTTTATTCAGTACCTTTAATTCGATAATTATATCAGTTGAATGAACACGCGACTTAACTGCTAATAAAAAAAACTGTAATTAACATCTATAATGAGGTTAGGCATTTTATTCTTTGTAAATTGCTATACTTAACATCAAGTGAATGTGATATGCCTTAAGGAAAAGTCCTGACAAGAAATAATGTTATTTTAATAAATGTTTTTTCTAGGGAGCGTTTTGGTCTGTACGAGGTGGACTTCTCGAGTCCGAATCGGACGCGCACGCCGCGCAAGTCCGCCTTCATCTACAAACAAATTGTGCGCACGCGTGAACTCGACTGGGACTATGAACCTGAAAGTTACATCATGACTATAGATAAGGGACATTAAGAGGTACACTACAAAATTCTTAAGAATGTACTGAGTTTTTTTATTTTTCCAATAAAATTTTGAAGTTCTTATTCTTATTATTTTTAAAGGTTGAAAGAACACCATGTAAAGGCAATATAAATTGGCTGATACAACTTATATTTTGCACAAGATAATTAATTATAAAAAATTGAATAAACTGTAATTGCACCCTATTTCCAAGTACTAAACTAAATATATTAATAAAATATATTAACAAAATGAATAGATGGAATGGAATGAAACATAATCTTTAAATAGTAAGTTAAAGTTAGTAATATGCTAAAATTAACGTGCTTAATCTATGCAAGAAAGAAAAGTTTAGATTAATTTTGTTCAAGTCATATTTTAAAAATAATAAAACAATTAAAAAAATAGAGAAATTTAAGTAAATAATCATTATAGAAAATCACGGATAATTTTTTGACTGCGATTTATTCAACGTCTGATCCACTAGTGTAATTAAGGATTGCGTTTAGTTGGATTTCAATAGAATAGGGTCCGTCTGCCGGCGCGACTCACTGGCTCGGGAAAATCCTAACAAAAGCCTCTAATGAATTGGATCTTCCAGCTTAATTATCTTCAAATGACGGAAAACTGATTCCTTGTTAATAACACTTCAAAGAAGCTATTCAACAGAGATTATTTGTATCGAAGTATTATCATAACTGTCCAGTCGGTACGCGCAAAGAAACATAAATAACAAACAATTTTTCTATAATATTTGTTCGTAAAAAGCGTCAATAGCCTAATTGTTAAGGGTACAGATTTCCGATCACGAGGTCGGGAGTTCGAATCCCGCCATTCGACTATTGTCGTAAACGATATCCTACCACAAGCATAGAGCTTAGTTGAAATGGTGAAATAAATATTAGTAAATTTACAAAAAAATCTGCTAATATTTTATTAAAAAAAAATGCGGTACAACACCAAAACTTGTTTTGTGTACTCTTTGAGTGTATACTATAAAGTGTACAGGGTTACTGCGTTTTATTTTTAAAATGTTTTTTAGTTCTATTGAAAGTTTTAGATTGCTCTATGACATTATTAAACTTTTTTTACTTTAGTACTGTATGTATGCTGGTTTCAGCCAGACCTCACTGGCTAGGACTAAATTTTTAGTTACATTTTAGACAAAGATGATTTATAGTTAAGTATATAAAGTTATATATAAGTTAAGTATAAGTAGTAAGTAAATTACGTGAACGAATAAAGGTGTGACAGCTATTTTTAATCAAAAAAATAAAAAAAAATTGATTACGAAGCAAGGTTGAATTTTTAGTTTTAAGTACAAAAATTTACTAAACAAAATGTTTTTTTTTTTTGTAAAAACAAAGTTTGTTTATTTTAAACAAGAAATCTACGTGTAACATGTTACGAAATGCATTTAACATCTATGTATAGGTTAATTTTCCTTTTCGCTTGATACGAGAGAGCGTCACCGACAGGTCGCATTTGGACGTAAATGTATTTGCCGCGTCGACGCTGCGAACCCATTTCGAGCTAAATCCATTCAACGGTGGATTTTCGTTGAAGTAATTTTCAAAGCTTTCAGTATGTTTGAAATAAAAATGAGTGTTTGCGACCGGTATCTAATATAATCAAGTAGATTTAAAAACTTAATTATATATTTCTTGCCATGGAAATATCGTATGAATTTTAAATAGAATAAACACTAAGGATTATTTTCGTTTACTAGTTTATAGCTTTCAGCTCGAATTATAAAGCCATTAAACAATAATATATCCAACATTTCCAAAGGCTAATGGAATAAAACTTTGAATATAACTTTGACTTGATACAGTTTTTATTAACAAAAGACTTTGCCCCTTTTCTTTCCGACTCGAGGCTATTACAAAAAGTTCAGTTCTAATAAAAACTACATTTTCGGACATCATCAATCACCGCGAAATGTATTTGGAACAGACACGCCCGTTTTTATGAAAGATCAATATTTACTCTATAAACCGAGGTCAGTCTTAGACATGTTTTTTTTGTTTTTATTCTAAGCGCATAGACAAGAAGGCTACTCGACTGTTGTAATAATAACCCATACTCCAATGAAAATGACGTTTTTTATAGGTTAGGATGAAATGATATAAAAGATACGACAGAGGTTTGCCAAGACCGCGCCAAAGTAAATTCAAAAGTAAGCTAATCACGGCCTGCACCTGTGGGTTACAATTGTGGGTTGTATGGGAAAGGTAACAGTTTTTCTCTCACTGAGAGTGACCACTCTGTTGATGTTTAGTCTATGTCTGCCAAAATGATTTGACATTACGCTTACGAAGTCCGACGCTGACCTTGTATTTTCTAACCCTGTTAAGGTTTATCATTTGAAAATCATGCATATACTGTATTAAAATTTCATTATAACGCATCCGGTAACTTACTTTTATGCAACCGTGTTATAAATTAAGGTTGTAATAATTAATTTGCTGATAAAAATCTTTTTAACTAGTCCAAGGACCTTTAAATAAGGGGAATGTTTTAAATTTATTTTTATCTCATAGCTTAAGCGTTTCCTTACGCATATTTACGAATATGTTTACGCATATTTGTCTTTGCAAAAAATTAACATGTAAATACGTAAATTTGTTTTACAATAAGCCGAATTTAAGACCTAGCAAAACATTTGTAAAAGAAAAATAAAATGTGATATCAATATGATGTTTATGGTTGTGATATTATTAGACCAGGGGAAGTTTAAATGTGTGTAAAAGAACATACATACATAAGAAGAGAGAGAATTCAGATATGACAGGTGATAGAGATGTTTGGAAGAGTAGTACATTCTGTGCCGTCTGTAGGGAAAAGGGCTGGTTGATGATGATGATGTGAAAGTTTTTAATATACATGTAAAAATCAATTGCTGTTCGTTAGTCTCGCTAAAACTCGAGAACGGCTGAACGAATTTATCTCATCTTGGTCTTGAAATGTACATGGAAGTCTAGGGAAGGTTTAAAAGATGAGAAAAATTCGAGTAATTGCCGGGAACAAATTAAGTTGTTTTTTTCATTCCACGCGGACGGAATCGCGGACGACAGACAGTATTTTATGTATAGCTAGAATATGCTAGAAACATTTAATATTTACACAAATCTCTTAGAATATGTATTATAGTATTTTTTTAATTATAATAATATTGAAGCTCAGCTGTGTAGCGAATGGCGCAAATTCCTCGTCTCGATCCCGTACTCGTATAACTGGCCAACATCAAACATACGGATTTCTAACAGTTACATTTTTCTCGAATGCAATTTATTTTTACAAAGCAAAATAAAAAAGCAAACACATTGTACATTCCTTTGTTTTTTTCGTTGTAAAAAGACATAAAAGTATGTTTTCGAATTGTCTGTGAATTTAAATCAACGGTTTTTTTTTATTTATTCAATGGTTTTCACAGCTGTAGTGCATACAAAATCATATGCCATAAGTAAATAATGATGTGTTTACTGTGGGTTTCTGTTCTGTTATATCTGTTTTGACAAAGATAATGACAGTGATGACGATATGTTTTATACAGAGATTATGTTTTCAGAAACCCACGGTTGTAAATGTAAATCTAATTTGATATAAAAAGACATAAACTTAGTTATTTTAATATTAAGAAGTGTAATACATTTATAATATCGTGAGAGGAGATAATAATCAGCTTACAAACATAATTCTAAAATACCTAAACTTGTAGTCCCCAACCTCAAACTCTCAGATAAATGAATGAGGATGTCACACACGTCAGCTTGGTTATTAAACAGGGATACAGGAGTTTACAGCACAGGGACTGTTCATTCCGCAACTGTCAAAAGTTGCCAACACGTTGTGTTCGACGCAACAACTTTTGACATAACAATTTAGGAGCTGGCTTTGCAGTGGCCTGATTAATATGAAGTTTTTCGCGATCATTTTAAAATCTTATTGTACACTGCCTCTTAATAAACTAAGAGCAAGTTAAAGAAAATTGTTTAATAATAAATCAGTCATTTCTAATCAGAGATTAATACTACTAATTCTAGTCCTGGTTAGTCAATACTACTACTAGTCAATACTAGTAGTAATCGCTGTTTCTTGTTACGAGTTAATTGACATCAGCACTATTCATTTTACTAACATCAGAAAGCGTGTTCAGAGTACATATATTTGAAGTAGACATTAACTGATAAAATACAGTACATGCAAAACATTGAAATATTCTCACGTATTACTTAACACTCCTTATTCAATTAACACGAACGTACGTCGCAAACACAACGTCTTTGAACGTTTAATATAGTTACCACTACTAATGACACTCGAATAGAACTCGTCCACTATAAATATTTAATAAAGTGTGCGAGTTGTGCTTTGTGCGCAGGTGTTAATAGAGATGATAAGATAACGTCTGCCAACAGAAAGCTCGTTTTAACCGCATAAAACATATCGTAACGCTTCAAGTTAATAACGAAATGACACAAAAAGTCGTCCTCTAAAGGCTTGAAGGTTAAAATTCTAATAAAACTTTAAGCTAGAAGATAATTAACAATTGTCGTTTGATGATTAGCACACACTTCATATTTCTTTAAAAATACTCCTGAAGCATTACGACCTTCATTTAATGTATAGTGCAACTATTCGAGCAAAAATGAGCCAGGCGCTGACCTGTATTAATGGTTTTCACTTTTACTACCAATATCTGATCTTTATCAATTTTGTAGTACAATTAAATTGCTAACAAATCAATTGATACATCATGATTCAAAATAATTTCGTTCACGTCCCACCAAACGAGATCATCTGTAGTGGAAATTGACAAATTTCCGTGATGTTGAATGAAATTGTTGCAGTATTGTACCGTGGGAATATGAAGTAAATATACATGTCGTAAGCTCGGACACTTTCATAAGCGTTTCAAATTATTTCTGTACTCAAACTTTACAAAATTTTCTCATAAATTATACAACAATACCATCCTCACATTTTTAATCTGTATAAGTTAAAGAACACCATACAATTTCGGTTTTTTACTTTTATTACTCAGACAAATAGCTCATTATCATGTTATCTTTTAAAAAGT